TTGTCTGTGGTTTGGAATTATATCCTGACTGGTATAAGAGTTCAAAAAAGTTGCATTTTTTCAGGTATACCCCTGCCTTAAGTGAGGTAAATTTTATTTGATAAGTAGGTTGAAAGGGAACTGGCAGTCGAAGGGCTGAAGTGGACCTACTATACACAAAATTTAAAATTTTACAAACTCGAAAGATATTAGAAATTAATAATAGAAATTGAGTGGAACGAGAAACGTTCAGGAAAAAGTTTCGGAAATCAAGGAATACGTTTGCGGTGCACCTTCTTTGATAGAATTTCCGAAATTAGATGCCAGTTTCAGCCTCCCTATTGAGCGTGAGGTCACGAGGACGCGCGCGCACGCGCAAAACAAAACAAAACAAAACAAAACAAAACAAAACAAAACAAACAAACAAACAAAAAACAGTAATGGCGGGCGAAGCATTTCAAGCATATCGATGCTCAGCTTTTGGTTTTCTGTCTCAAGAGTTCACTCTTGACCTTCAGCATCAATGCAATTTGTTTTCTGGCAAAAAGCTCGCTCTCCAGCCGTTTTGTAGCCTGCGAGCAGGCTCACCTTTGAGTCGCACGCGCGAGCGGCGAAGAGCAAAGCGATCCGGAGGGAAGGAGTCTGGTGAAGAGGTGCCAAGAAAGTCATTTTCTCATCTCGCGGCGTCGCCGCTCGATTTCGCACTCGCAGCTACGCCGCGCGCGCTTGTGCTCCACAACGTTAGCCTGCTCGCAGGCTAGCCGTTTTGTGATCCGGCGTTCCTTGCCCCCCACATCTACATCTACATTATGGGGGTCTTGCAAATGGAGGCATGCCCCCATCACTGCAAGACATTAAATTAAAAAAAATAAAAAGCAGGGTTGGGGCTGGGGGTAAAAAACCTTAAAAATATATAATAAAATATGTACATAATTTAAAAAGATTACTAAGAAAAATTTAATTAAGATTAAAAAATTACAACCCACACGTTGGGAAGAGGATCAACAACGGCTGGAAATCGAGCAAGCATCCGTCCGGATGCTTGCCAGTTGAAATTCATCCTGTGTGCATTAATTATTTCTTGCGTCCAGCCGCTCGTTTTCCCCCGAGAAAAGGCAGCACTTTTTAGTTCGAAGAATTCATTTACACAGTTTAAACTCTTCCATATAAAGCACGCCATATGCAGCCAGAAGTATTACATCGCGAATGTTGCTAGGGAGAATAGTACAACTTATCGTTTCAGAATCATCAACACCTAGCGGCATGCACACAACTGAAAGCGACATGAATTTATTTAAGTTTAGAAGATATCCGTCTATTTAGACTCTATAAGGAGAGATTGAAGCTTTCGTATTTATCATTAAGATGTACTTCTTTGATTGAAATTAAATGTTTACGTGTAAAACAGTTTTGTATGAAATGTTTATCTGTCAAGAAAAAGGGCGTGCGAAACGAGAAATAAATAAACTGACTGTTTTTTTCCAAATCTCGAACCACTTTGCGCCCAATTGCCGTTCTTCGGGGTCTTCGCTTTTTCGCCTACTTTTCGACGTCTAGATTTTTTCCTCGCCAATTCGCCTGTGCCTCGCCTCCATTACCTGCCCTAGGTATCCTCCAAAAGTGGGTTATCACAAAAATAACACGAACGGCCAAACGGGCTGTAACTAATAATAAAACAAAGCTCAACCCGCAATTCCGGTTTCCACTTTATTTCACACAAGACAAAATGTCAACAATAACAAAGACAACAATGAACACTCTTCACATAAGAGATTTAGTCTAAGTTCAGTTGACTGCGCTACGAAAATCGAAGGCATTGTAAAGCTAACAACCCGTTACAGTCTCCCTGACAATGAGAATAAAACAGAGCGAGGGTTAGTATAGATATCGTGTCACTCGTGATTGTCCAAGGGCCATTACGCTTGGTCTTCGAAATTTCTCATTATCCAAAGTTAATTTATTCTTTTGTTTATGTCCTCCACCAGTGCCAAGCTTTGACTTCGTTGCCGAGCAAATTCCGAGAAGTATTCAATCATCTTCGTAGCAATACACTACGCCTTCGCCAGTCCGGACATGATCATTTGCCAAAGTTCTTTCTTCTTAGAATGACCCCATCGAATACTCTGCAAGAGTTCATTAAACTGTGTCATTCCGCCCGGTGCCATGCAAAAGGCTCCCCGTGCGTGTCTCAGGAGTTCCACAAACTCATCATACTCGCTCTGGGAAATGTTTATCAAGTTATAATGGATACACTGTGCGTACATTGTTAGACTCTTCTGTACTAAGGGACTAATAGTTGGTGAACGCAGATTCGCGGCGAGCTGAGCTGGGTTGGAGCGAGCCATGTGTCTGGCGGCTTCCAGCGCAAGGTCGTGCAGAACGAATGGGCTAACTACTGCATTTAACGCGGCTACGCAAAACCTCTGAAGATGCGAAGTACCGAGTTTGGCAGACAGGCTGCACAACCATCTAATGTCTTCACTGCAGCTGGGATTACGGGAAAACTTCACGCTTGGGCGGTCATCTGAAGTGCGCCTGGATAAGAACTCCAGTGCCAACATACCAACTCTGTATGCACTGTTCAGATAGTACGAGACTTGTGTTCCTTGCTGCACTGGTGTGATGCGATTTAAATGCTGGTTAGAACTTGAACTCGCACTTGTGGTTTGATACGGGGGTGGAGTGAGGCCGGCATACGCTCCCGATAATGAAAATTGAGTCCCTGGCAAGGATCGCGAGAAAGGGTATGAATAATGCGACTGTGAACCGGACCGGTAGCTTGAGGACCCCCCTGATAAATAAGCCGGATAGTGCCCCATCATCTGATGGACTTGCTGGTGCATTTGCTGCTGAACATATTGCTCGGGCGTGGTGTACAGGGGGGGAGGTATTGATGAGTAACTGCAAGGTATGGTGAACTGTGGTATCTGAGGCACGAAGGGGCTGAGTGGAGGAGACTGGCTCGAAGAGGCTGAAGGTTGAGACGATCTACTCAACACACTTCTGTTTCTTGATTCGCTTTTAGCTGGCCTTGCGGCTGTGCCACTGTTGGTCTGGTTTCTTTCGTGAAGGTGGAACCAATGTTTGGCAACATCAAAGAGAACTTCGGGGTACACACCACCACCCCGAGCGGCGCTTTCAACGGCCTGGCAAGCTTGGTCCAACAACTGCGGATCCTCCTCGCGACACTGAGACAGAACACGCTGAATTTCGCCCGGATTTAAAGTGGTAGCCATGTGAAGACATGACAGGCCAAGCTCAGCTGCAGCACGCACCATGGCACGGTCATTTGACCTAGAAGCTCGATCAGCGATAGATGCCACTTCAGAAGGCGTTAGGTTCCCTTCCCAGTGTTCCAGGAGAAGGGCTATTGCCTGATGACCAATCTCCATGGCTTGACCTGAGATCCAGGAAACATGCGATGAGTACGTTCGTGACAGCCAGTTGGGGGATGTTCGATTGTGGAGTCCCAAGGCAAAGAGGCCAATTTCAAATGCACACAACTGCAGTACTCTATGAGGTCCAGCTTGAGTGTCGCTGCTTGCTGTCTGAGTAAACACGGATGTGCTGTTGCTTCCCCCAGCTTTACTCAGCACAGTCTTGGCAAGCTCGAACATGAAATGCGCCTCAGCCTCGGTAGCCTGATAAAGAGCAGACTTGCCGCCTCTCTTCCTCCTTCGTCCACGCGGCCTGTTACGGCGCCGACTTCTGTCAGTATCATCAGCACTTGCGCTGGTGCTTCCTCTGGCTCCTGATTCACTGGACTGTTCTTCTATTGCCTCTAATGGTGCTGCTGCAGCATCAGCTGCTTCTCCTTCATTGTAATGTTGATCATCACGGCCAGGGGAGACAGATGCTGAACTGCCACTTTCAACGACCACATTCAGGGAACCTGACATCCCTTCATCATCAGCAGCAACTGAAGGTGAAATATGAACATCATGCGTTTCGCCTGAATCCACCGAAGTATTTGCCGTCCCTGAAGAATTAGCCATCTCCTGTTGAGAATCCTCGAAGTCAGCTTCAATATCCGACACATCTCCTTCAGATGAGAGATCCTGACCGGCAGGGATTTTGCCAGTGATAAGAACTGGCCTGTCGCCAGAAGCGCAAGTAACGTTCACGGTCTCCGAGGTACCTGGTAAGGTGTTTCTTGTTATCTTGTTGCTACAATCTGAAGTTTCATTCAAACGTGGTACGTTAGCAATTAATCCAGCCGCAGTAGGGGATTGGAGATTTGGACGAATGCTTTCTGTCAGGACTAATGGCGGAAGATCGCCACAGACGAGAGGGACATCTCCAGCTGGAGAACAGCCTTGTGGAACATTTTCAATTGGGTCACGGACTTGTGGAACATCTCCAGCCGGACCACATACTGGTGGTACACTCTCGACTGTACCAGTAGCACGTAGGACACGATCAACAACTGCAGTAATGTGTGGTTCCTTATCTAACATGCTAGATTGGTTATCCCGAGTGCATACCTTCACACCAATGTCACCTGGGACAGGCTCTGCATCACTGGCATTGGCGGCATCTTGTTTTGGGACGGACATTAATAAGTCATTCGGGACAATCACATTAGGCAAATCCTGCCTCGGGTCAGGAACAGCAGTTTTACCTTCAGCAGGGTCATTTAGTTGAAGAGCGTGAACATACGGAACAGCAGTACGCATGCCTTTCACAAGATCGGTTTGATGACCATCCACCACCCGGACGGGAATTGGAACTGAATCTGTGTCTACTCCGCTTGAACTTCCGCTCTCATCATCCATCGATACAACATCTGCAGCCAGTCTTTGAGGCGTAGGTCTGGCATTCCCTCCACGTGCTTTACATCTGTCTACTACTGAACTACTGTCTTTGCTGCTGCTGTCTGTGCCACTGTCACTAGTACTGGAGGAATTTTGGCCATTGCTGGAGAACAATAACAAGGAGAAAAAGCAATTAGGAAATACTCAACACAATAAGTAGAGTATATGTAATTTAAGCATTATCATCGCTAGCTGTTACTTGGATTGGTTCACTAGGCTTCTCAGAAAGTTTTATGATAAGCAAACTTGAGATTATCGAAGTAAGCAAAAAACAAACAAAGCAAAGAGACCTCAAGGTGAACAACTGTGACAACTGAAACACGTTCCTAGGACTTTATTCTTTATTTCTTCATTCGCTGTATATTTTAACCAATGCCACAAGAACCAGCCAGCAGACAGCCACCAAACTACAATCATCATGAACGGCAACAAGACACAAGAACGCGTTATCAATTTAAAGCTCTGCGTTGTGCTTTCAAAGGTTTCAGATATTCCGGAAATGTCACTATCCAAACCCTGAAACAGGCAGTATTTCTCATGAATATGCAAATAAAATGTCAATACCCAACTACACCAGCAATACGTCTACCTTGCTCTGCGGCTGGGTAGCCCTAAGCTAGCTCTGGTCTTCACAGCACCGCCGTTGCTGGACGCCTCGCTTTCCTCACTCTTGTTCTCCTGTGAATCAGACCTTTCGACTTTCTTCTTGTCTTGCTTCACTCCAGTACTGTTTGGTAAGTTATATCGGTTCTTGTCCAACAGAACATCCATGACTTGGCGAATCCTGGAGGTATCATCTCTGCAGTGAAGGAGAAGTGCTAGTGCCAAGTCTCCTCTCTGTTTTCTTGTACCCTCACACAACATGGGGTACTGGTTCTCTAAAACATTTCCTTTCATCCCTGGTGAAGAAAGGCGTTTGCCGAAGACTCAGTTAATAATCAAGGAATTTAGCACATTGTTGTAACTCTTGTGATGATTACCTAAAATACCTACCTAAAATATTTACAACTACTAATGGCCTAAATTCTTTAAGTTACCAGTCCCTGTTTGTTCGAAGGGTGGATACTGCTATCGACCGGATAAATCACTATCCAGTAGATAAATTTTAACATAACAAACCACGCTATCCACTGGATAGTGATTTACTCGGTGGATAGCGCTATCCACCTTTCGAACAACCCGGACCAGGCGGCCAAATCCTGGAACACCTTCCGCAAATTAATTTTGTCCTGTGATACAGTGAAACTTCTATTAAGCGGACCTTCCCAAGTACCCGCTTAATAGAGGGTGTCCCCTTAATACAGGTTTATAACAATTGCGCAATGTTTGTTAACAATTAACATTCAACGGTTCCTCTGTACTGTAATAGAGTTTCAGGTTGTTAACTAAGCTATATCCAGAGTTCAAGTTCATCAGCTTTCATTACCAACTTTAATTTATTTGTAATAATGCCCTTTCAATACAGCAACGATAATACGGATACATTTAATCGTCTATGAAATCGACTGTTTCAAGGACGTAATCCAATGCCACATTGAGAATTCAGTTCGGTGTCCGTTTAATAGAGGTTTTTAACAATAGAAATTAGCCAAATACAATTTGTTTTAGTTTCCGCGTCCGCTTAATGGAGGTGTCCGTTGAATAGGGGTTTGTTATAAGGGGAAACATAAGACGTTAATTTCGGGACCAGGCAAAGTGTCCGCTTGATAGGGGGTGTCAGCTTAATTGGGGGTCCGCTTAATGGAGGTTTCACTGTATTGCACAAATTTATATAGCAACTTTATTATAACTTTTCTTTCATTAGTTCGAATTTCTAACATTAAGTAGCTCGAAGAAATATTAGAAGCAATGCTACTCTGTAAATTCGAGGGTAAATAAAGTTGATGATTAACTGCAACGAGTTTCTAAGAGAGCCTGAATATCTCTTGTAACAAACTTGATGCCCTTCTCTTTGAGCTTCTTTGAATGATGTAGGTTTTCACAGATCCGTGTATTGTAGTGACTTTGCTGGGTTTTTACTCGGTTTTAAATCTCAATTCCGCAGCAACGTCCATTTACACAGACGATTTTTGGTGCAATTTTTGTCATACCGTAATTTCCACCGTGATGTTTTTTGCACTCGCGCTCACTCGTGTTGCAACCAACTGCAATTTCAGCGCGATTTGAACACGATATTGCTAGAGTGTCTATGGAACGTGATAAAATGAACATAAATTTTATATCAGAGCATCTATAAACGTCTTATCAACAAGAAGTGTATTTTCGTCGTAAGTTGGAAACCACAGCTGGTTTACACGCGCGATCTGGAGGTCCAACACTGGCGCGAAATTCGTAGTGGAGATCGGGACAAAAACGGTATCAAAAATCGCTCGTGCAAATATGCCTTGAAATCAACCTACATCGTAGATAACATGTCACAGTTATGAAACTCAAACGTTCCTTACGACGCTCGTATCTCCTTGACTATTCCATTTCCTTACTATGAGTAGTACAACGAGTGCAAACTCACAAATCTTCATCATAAATCACAAACTCCCAATTAATCATTTCTCTTATTTACAATACTGCACCTATAGCATGGAGAGCAGCTTGGAATCCTAGCTCCTCGTCCTCTTTAGTGGTGGTGCAAAGTTTCCCTGTCACCTGTCGCTTGGTTTGTGTTCCACCATTACTTGGGCACAGCACATCAAAGATGAATGTGGCTAACATGATAGGCAGTACAGCTTCACCCCGCTTCAGTTGCCCACGATACAGGAGCTCAGCTTTCTCCCTAACAACTGCTAGTTCAGCTGGGCCAAGAGGAAGTTTCTTAAGCAAGCTAACCAGATCTGATTCTTGATTTGAAAGTTTTACCTGCAACATTGCATATAAGATACTTGTCAGACTGACTGCTATGTGATGGAATGACTGTTTATATGAAAGTCTTTTATTCCACACACGCTTATCAACATAAGGTCGGCCAACCAAAGATTTGCAAGTTCACTGTCACTGCAGTGCTAGCATCATTCTTCAGTGGAAATTTGCTCTCTTGTCTTCAATGTGACCTCGACTGAAGTTAAGTTCCCCTTGAGCTCAAACAACCTGGATTTAAATTTTACTATTGTAAATAACTATAGGTTTTTTTTTAGTGTTTTCTTCTAATTTAACTCGTTCTTGTTATGTCCCCGTATTAGTAGGGGAGTTTTTCCCCAGCTAGGTGGTTGATGACATTCTTAATAAAGTTTCTATCTATCTATGGGTTAAGCTTAATTATTAATGTTTGCCTTGCATGAGGTAGCGTGGAGTATTATTATTCAACCCAGATCGCATTTTAGTCCATCGCAAGTTACAGAAGCCCTGACAGACACTGGCAGCATTTGATACTCCTTCCCTGGTGGAGGGAGGCACTGAGAGAGTACAAGACCTTGCCCAAGAACACAACACTATGACTCTAACCATGGATCGACCCTGGTCTGAAGTCCAACCTGGTAATCATCACAAAATTTCAATGCAAAAAAGAACAGTCTTCCCATCAGGGGTTCAATTAACATTTTTAGCAGGACGGCAACTGTTTTTCACAGGAGGTAAAGCTTATGGAAAGAAAACCTTTCCTCTAGATGGTCAAACCAGGTGGGCAAAGTTATCCTCACAACCGGTGAATTTGTCCAGTGCCTAGCCCAACCCCTGCTTCCTATTCTGATTATTACCTCCAACGCCTTACTCCTGGCCGGCTGCCTTGGCATCTCCAGACCCAGCATACCGACTCTAAAAGCCAAGTGATGGCAGTGCAGGTCCTCTGTGAGCACATTACAGAGAAAAGCAGCTTTTAACAAAATAGTACTTGTGAATGAACTTGGGCCTGGACCTCTGTTACTGTTTTTTGTACCATCAGAATGTGCTGAAATGTTCAAGTTACTCCCATCACGTAGAATCTTCTCTGCGAGTTTCATGGCTAGTTTGCCGGCAATGGTGTGGTACCCATGAAGATGTAGAGCCTCAGTTCGAGCACAAAGCACCTCCAAATCTTCATCGACGTTGTGTGCAGGGATGGGAGAGGATTCTAAAGTGCTGCTAGTGTTTTCTTCACTTACACCTTGGCTGCCTCCCACGCTACAGAAAAATTAACAAACCCTTACTTCATTTTATACTGGCTGAAATACCTTAAATCACAAAAACAACTATCAAACGTACCTCTATAAACCTTAGTATCTCAATTTTATTCACCATCGATACAAGCATTAATGTTGCACAAAACTGAACCGAGAACTCATGACCAGGTTCCCTTTTAAATCTACATGTAAAAATCCAATACAGTTCAATTTCTCAATCTGTATATATATTTATTGTATGCACCACTCAATAATATTCAAATATGATTTGCATAAGCAATCATATACACTACATGTGATATTTAAAAATTCCACCAAAACTGCACTGGCCTCCAGGTGAGTGCTATTTAAAAGAATTTTCTAATATCACAAGTAGTGTAAATTCCTTAATTATCATTTACACCAAGGGTTTCATTAAGGGCCAGGCACCTGGCAAATTGACCATCTGTGAGGACAAGTTTGCCTGCCTGGTTTGACCATCTAGTGGAAAATTTTTTCTTATCAAGAAGTTCAGTTTAAAAAGTCTTGCCCGCCTGTGAAAACCAGTTGCCCACCTGTTGAAAACCTTTAAGTTAATGAAACCACTGCTGTTCAACACTTTAATTCTTAACATTTATATCAATCACAATAAATGTATTTTATCAGTCATATAGTAAACAAAATAATGAGAAGACAAGGAAGCTACACAAACCTTTCAAGAGGTCCCATGCTGTTTTCAACAAGCACAGTCTCTGGAGAGTCTGCGCTTGATGTATTCTCTTCTAGAACTATCCCTGGCTGAAGATTTTTCCAGTCAAGTGAACAAGCCTCTATGGCAGGGCAGAAACCAGGGAAGCATGACATTGCTGTTGATGGAATCACATGACTGGTGCCTCTTCCTGGCAAGTGGAAGGTATACAGAATGAGTACACTGAATGGAATTCAGGGATGGATGGATTGACAGACAGGTGGACAAAGAGACGGACAAAATAATGATTAAGTGATCAAATAATAAAATGAACATAGAAATCAACCGTAATGAATCAATGAATAAGTTGACCAATTAAAATTTGAAAGACGTTTCCAGACTGAAGGGGAAAAATATCGCACTCAGGTGAGTTAATAATTAGGAGTCAATATGCTTCAGCAGCCTGACAGATTGGAAAGATATGTAGTAACACATTGAAAAGTCATGATTGCTAAAATTTACTCCTCCATGCAAATTGTAGTGCAGTCAGGCTAGGAGATGTCTCCACCTGATTTTGGAGTGTTAAAAACAGGCTGGTTGATTAATGTGGCTACCTGCCCAGTAGCAGTTGATTCAGTCCACAATGCATAATGCACAAATGTTTCAAATCACTATGAAGTGGTCGGTAGATAATTATGTTTTATTCTAGTTCACACCTGCCCTGCCTTTGTCTACCGCTTTTTGGTGCCACTCTTGCAACTGACTCTTAATCTCTTCTCGCTCCTCATCTGTCAGTTTGGGATTGAGTGCTGCCAGTCTCCACAAGGTCACAAGCTCATCACAGAATCCAGCACAAGCATGCTTAGTGGCTTCTGTGCTTGCAGCATTAGTATTACCCCTGTAACTATTGCCATGGCTATGAGATGATGAATTGCCGGCGGCTTGACTGCGACTGTCAAACCACCAAATCAACACCTGATCGTTGGCCAGACATTCTTCAGTGATAATGGTTAGAAGGTTCACGGCATTCATATCACCTCTACGGAACAGTTCACGGACTATTGACAGCAGGTTCCACATTCCTTCTGGTTCCCGACCTCGTAAAGGCCTGAGATGATTTGACCTGCATGTGATGACAGACTTGATCAAGAATTAAAAAAACTGGTGCATTTAAGAAAACATGAGGACTAGTTCATCACCTTGTAGATACTGGTTAAATGGATAATTACAAAAACAAAAATTTTCAAATCTAAAGTTCAAAAAGAAGGCAATACCAATCTGTATAGAGGAATCAGTTTATATTTTCTAGTAGCCTTGTATTTTTGGTTATTTCTATTTATAAAGGCTACCAAAATATGTATTTATAACCTAGATAATGAGTGGGATACAACAGAATCAGATCACTTCTCAGTCTTTTGATAAACACCAGTTACCACTTAAAAAGCCTTTCTGACAGTAGCTTGGGTGCAAATGTACTACTTTCTTTGAAATCTGTAAATTACGTTGGCACATGTGTTTAACGGTCTTACCATTCAGCTGCTGTAGGAGGAGCAGTGTTAGCTAAATACAGAGCATTCACATCACTAAACACTAAAGGACTCGGACCACAAAATCTCACTAGCATCTTCTTGATATTTTCATGGAGTGCACTTTCATCCAGGCACCATTTTGAGTGATCAGCAGCTGATGGTCCTGCAGTTGGATCTAATGAAACACAGCAAATTGTACAGTAATCTGTAACAAATTTTCTGAAGACATTGTTTGAAATATACGTCAGCCTGTAAATAAACTGGCTCTGAAACGGAAGTAGGGTCATGCAGTTGTTACTATGACAAGCTCTCACCTGGAGCTCCTGATACAGAGTTGATAGCAGATTCTTGTGATGATAGTAACTCATCTAGGAGTCTTTGTGCAGTAGGAAGAAGCTATATGTAATTAAATGAAGCAAAACCAAAACTATTAAAGGCTTTTTTGTCCACTACAACTATAATTCTACTGAAAACTCCTTCCTGGCAATGTTTCTTTAAGCATAAAAAAATAAAGCATTTTTCCTCAGTATTCTCTTACAGTGGATACCAGTTTCAAACACACAAGGCATTTAAGAAAAGTAAATTAGTCTTAAAAAATCTTTTTTCTGCATTGGTGGAAAGAAAAACACTAATCAATTATTAAGACATTAACTGTGGTCTTGACATTAACTGCCATAGTGAGTTTGTAAAACTGACATTTTCATCATTTGCTATGAGAAAGGGCTGATGCTTGAAATGCCAACTTGACAATTAATCAATGATTAGATCACTCAAATTATCTACTACGTATATGTAGTATACTGCCATATTTATCAGTGTTTGAAAACAGAAATTATAACATTTGCAACTGATGTATCCAACTTAAGGATGCAAAAGAAATAGATAGTACTAAGTAAACAGTAACTAGCCACAAATAGGAACCAACA